TGTGTGTGTGTATATATATATATATATATAAATTTTTTTTTTGAGGCCGGGTCTTGCTCTGTCACCCAGACAGAGTGAGATCTGTGCAACTGCGACAGTGCAATTGCGTGATCTTGGCTCACTGCAAGCTCCGTCTCTCAAGTTCAAGCGATTCTCCTGCCTCAGCCTCCTGAGTAGCTGGGATTACAGGCATGCTCTACCATGCCCAGCTAATTTTTTGTATTGTTAGTAAAGACAGGGTTTCACCATGTTGTTCAGGCTGGTCTTGAACTCCTGACCTTGTGATCTGTCTGCCTTGGCCTCCCAAAGTGCTGGGATTACAGACATGAGCTACCTCACCTGGCCACCACGCTGCTTCTTAATGGGTGGTGTACCCAACACTCCCTTATCCAAAAAGAATTCAATGTGTTTTCTAATTCATTAGCTTCTTATTAATGAACATAACTGCCCTCAATTAAACAAACAGTACCTTTACATCCAAACCACACCCATATCAGTGATAATGTATCCCTCACTTATTTTAAAAAGAAGGAAACAAAAATGATCAGATTTGATTAGTGACAGCTAATTAAAATGGGTATGCAAAAACAATTGGAAAGTGGATGACTATAACATACTGAAGGATGCTAAAGCCATCTTTTACAGTGTTTGGTTTAGGCATTAAAAGGAGATGAGCAGATGAGCATTCTGTCTCTCTCTCTTTTTTATCAAATGTACACTCTCTACTTCCATTTCACGTGAAAAATCTATAACAAGAAGATGATTTGTCAGGTTCCTGTTTTATCCTCAGACAGGAAAACATTCTCAAAGGGAGGAAAATGTCCAGGCTAGCAACTAGGAAAACAATGATTTAGAGCAAGGCAAACATTCTTAGTGAGAGGCAAGGCTGCTCTGGGAATTAAGACATACATAATAAAAACATCCAACTTAGTCACCATCTTGAAGATATTTTCTGGCTGTGGTTTCCTTATTCTTACAAGGAAATAGTTGACCATTTAGAATATAAAACTGTCGTGACAAATATTTAAGAGTACACGGCAGTAACATGAAAGTAGAAAGGAGAGAGCTTACTGGAAGGAGGAACATAGGGATTATCTGGTGTGAGTGTGTGTGGGATGTAGAGGTAAGAAATTTCCAATTTTAAATAATGTAGTCAGGGAAGGTCTCTGAGAAAAAAGTGGCATTGAATAAAGACCTGAAGGATTGGTGAGGCAGGGAGCCATGCAGACCTCTGGGAAAAGGACAACCTGGTCAGAAGAAACAGACCCCAGGGGAAAGAAGCTGACAGGTTCAAATAAGTTCAAGGACATCTGCACAATGAAGCTAGTTCCTTTTTCCCTTGACCATTCCACATTTTTCAGACACCAAAGTTTCATTCTTTTTCCTCCACAGAATATATGCATTGGTTAATAATTATATTAATAAAATTCTGAGGAACTGAATTTTGATACCAATAGAAATAACTGTCTAGGAACCATTCTGTCATTTCAGTTCTCCCACATTAAGCAGTATAAAATTCAACTTTCCATTTTTTTTTTTCTTTAGATGAAGTCATGCTTTGTTGCCCACGCTGGAATGCAGTGGTGTGATCTTGGCTCACTGCAACCTTTGACTCCTGGGTTCAAGCAATTCTCCTGCGTTAGCCTCCCAGGTAGCTGGGGTTTACAGGTGTGTGTCACCATGCCTGGCTAATTTAATTGAGCCTTTATTTTTATTTTTTAAAAAAATAATTTAAAAAAGTTTTACTTTAAGTTCTGAGATACATGTGCTGAATGTGTAGGTTACATAGGTATTCATGTGCCATGGTAGTTTGTTTCACCTATCAATCTGTCATCTATGTTTTAAGCCCCGCATGCATTAGGTATTTGTCCTAATGCTCTCTCGCCTTGCCTCCTACCCCTGACAGGCCCCAGTGTATGTTGTTCCCCTTCCTGTGTTCACGTGTTCTTATTGTTCAACTCCCACTTATGAGTGAGAACATGCGGTGTTTGGTTTCCTGTTCCTGTGTTAGTTTGCCGAGAATGATGGCTTCCAGCTTCATCCATGTCCCTGCAAAGGACATGAACTCATCCTTTTTTATGCCAGGCTAATTTTTATGTTTTTAGAAGAGATGGGGTTTCACCATGTTGGCCACGCTGGTCTCGAACTCCTAGAATTCAACTTTCTACCAGTTCTTGGAGCTTTGTCAGGATAATAATTAAAGCTGCTTCCTCAGCATATCCTTTTCAGGATTTCAGAGCTCATTAATGTAGTTTACAAGGTACAGAAAAAGTAAACATAGCAGGCCTGAAACTTCATCCCTATAAAGTCCCACTTACAAGATTGGTCCTTTTTTTTTTGAGTTTTGCTCTTGTCACCCAGGCTGGAGTGCAATACAGTGATCTTGGCTCACTGCAGCCTCCGCCTCCCAGTTCAAGCAATTCTCCTGCCTCAGCCAGAGGCATGCCACCATCCCCACATAATTTTTGTATTTTTAGTAGAGACAGGGTTTTGCCATGTTGGCCAGGTTGGTTTTGAACTCCTGACTTCAGGTAATCCACCCGCTTCTGCCTCCCAAAGTGCTGGAATTACAGGTGTGAGCCACCGCACCCAGCCATAAGATTGGTTGTTGACTGGCATATACGAGCTCAAACTTTGGGACCCTTCTCACCATCCTCAAAACTGATAAAACAGAATATGGTTTATGTTGAACATCTGCTTTTCTTCTGGGAATCTGGAATTTTGGTATGTGCCAAAATTTTTAGGAGTGCCTATATAAATAGCCCCCAATAAAAACCCTGGGCACTGAATCTCTAATGAGCTTCTCTGGTCGATATTTCACACGTATCGTCACGACTAATTGCTGGAGGAGTTAAAGCATGTCCTCTGACTCCACCAGTAGAAGGCTCTTGGAATTGTGTATCTGGTCTCTTCCAGACTTCACCCTATTTGCCTTTTCTCTTTGCTGATTGTACCTCATATACTTTTGCTATAATAAATAATAGCCATAAATACAATTATATGTTGAGTCCTGTGAGTCCTCCTAGTGAATCATCAAACCTGGGTGGGGGTGGTCTTGGGGACAATGACATAACAGATGAATAAATTTAAAAATTTGTATTTATTACTAATTTCTGTAAAAGTTGTATTACTTAAAACCCACTGCAACATTTCTTTTCTTTCTTTCTTTCTTTCTTTTTTAAATAGAGACGGGGTTTCACTATGTTGGCCAGGCTGGTCTTGAGCTCCTGACCTCAAGTGATCCACTCGCCTCGGCATCCCAAAGCGCTGGGATTACAGGCATGAGCCACCACACCCGGCCAATATTTCTTAACATTATATGTTACTATACCTGTTAAAATCTAAAATACATTTAACAAAGTAATAGCAAACAGGCAAACAACCCAATAAGCTATCATTTGTGGGCTATATAATACTGTCAAAAGAAATATACCACCAGTTTTTTTTTTTCTTTGAGACGGAGTCTTGCTCTATTGCCCAGGTTGAAGTGTAGTGGTGCTGTCTTGGCTCACTGCAACCTCCGCCTCCTGCGTTCAAGCGATTCTTGTGCTTCAGCCTCCCTCGTAGCTGGGATTACAGGGGTGTGCCACCATGCTTGGCTAATTTTTTTGTATTTCTGATAGAGACAGGGCTTCACCATGTTGGCCAGGCTGGTCTTTAACTCCTGACCTCAAGTGATCTGCCCACCTTGGCCTTCCAAAGTTCTGGGATTACAGGCGTGAGCCACTATGCCTCGTCTACCACCTACCACCAGTTTTAAAATCTAACATTAAAATGTTACCTCGAAAGAAATAAAATATAACTTCCAAAGAAACTAGAACCAGAATTTGATACCCTTGATTTTTTTCTCCTCATTCTTCATAGCAACTCAGTTCAATTTTCTTGCTACTTGGCTGAGAACCATCAGTTAATAACAGAATCATCAAGAAGATACTAAAACCAACATGATCCTTCTGAGTAGTGCTTTATAGAAAAACCAAACCCCTATAACACAAGGGATATTCCTGCAGTATAATCCTGGGTGCCACAGATGAAAGAGTGGAATGCTTGTTCTGCTTTAGGAGGAATGAAGTGGGCAGAATCTCTTGTTAGACAAAGGCAAGAATGCATGTGGGCTATATAAAGGCAGTGCAGATATAAACGAAATCAGAGGCCCTCACAGAAAGCTGTGTGATCACTCCAAGCAGTGCCACGAACTGCTCTGGAACCCACTGTGTGTGTGTACACATATACAAATATACTTTTAATCACCTTTTAAATAATCTGGTATCTAAAATAAATAGTTCTGGCCCTTGTGGCTTTCCCCTTATAATAACCATCAGATTTCTTTTTGAAGTACTTATTAGAGCTCCTATAGAATTTGTTATACTATTAAAAAACCAAGTAAGGAAGTAAATCAAAATGTAATGTTACACTAATTTAAGAATTATTTTTATAAATAATTATATGTTTTTAAAGCTTTTGGCTACTAATCTTCACAGAATTCACACATAGCCATATTTGAGATTATGCTGACTGGAATGATATACTCCTGACTGATAGACATATACAACTTTATTTGCTATTGGTTTAGGTTACTTTCCCACCAAATCTGTACCAGAGGTATTAACGTGGGATATAACGATTGTTCTAAATTTCAGTCTCCCTCTATTCTCTGTCTAAAGACATCATTAAAGAAAAATGAAATCCCCAGCCTGACCAATATGGTGAAACCCTGTCTCTACTAAAAATACAAAAATTAGCCAGGCATGGTGGCGTGCACCTGTAGTCCCAGCTACCTGGGATGCTGAGACAGGAGAACTGCTTGAACCCAGGAGGCAGAGGTTACAGTGAGCCAAGATTGCTCCACAGCACTCCAGCCTGGGTAAGAGAGTGAGACTCCCCATCTCCAAAAAAAAGAAAGAAAAAATTCAAATTTACTGTACTAATTCTTCGAAGAATTATGAAAAAACAACTTGCTTTTGAATAGCTTTGACTATGAATGGCAGATTACATATAACTTCAAAAGCAGACATTGATAAATTAGCATATATTTCTCCCAAGCTCTTGAAGAAGCAAATAAAGAAAGCAGAGAAGTGCTTACATTTTCCTGGTTTGGCTGGAATTCGAATTACAGTGGGCTTCCTGGTGGGTGCTGGTTGAACTGCTCGTTCTTTTATTGGTTCTGTTTTTGCAGGGAGCTGAAAGGGATCTAATGAAAAACATAGTTTATTTTGCATGTTTTAGTTAACATGGACTGAAACAAAAAACCTCATTCATAATTTAAGAGTCATATTTTTCATGCCCCAGGGGAAACTATTCATGGATAAACAAAATCTCAGTTTGCAGAGACAAAAACAAAGTTGGAGCTCATAAAAGGAAATAACTTAGTGTTCTGTAAATAATTCATGTGGCTTTTCTTCCTCTCTGGTGAGAGAGATCGAGGATCATCTTGAATTATGTAGAAGCTGATCTTTCAGGGGAGTGTAATCATTTCATACACGTCTGCCTGAAAATGAGAGGCAATTGAGAGGAGGAGACCATCTTTCCCACATCGTAAAGCCTCCCATATGCCCCAGAGAGGAAAGAAAGACTCTTTTCCTGGACACCCCCTATGCCTGTCCCAGAACATTTACTCCCAGGGCCCCCATCCTACCCAGAGCCGTGCCTGGCACAGGGAAGGTGCTCAGCAGTCTCAGATTTAGTTTAGTAAAAATACACTTCAGTAACATGAAAATCAAAAACATTCTATCCCATAAATAAAATAAGACATACCTCTTCAAATATTTAATTTTGGGGCAAGGGTATATGACTCAGCATTCCTCTGTCTTAACCGATTTATTAAGTAATTGTGGTTTTTGCCATTAAAAGTAATGCACCAACCCAATATTTTAAATAGACAGTTTATGCTTAGGTGAAATACTTTAAACAAAAGCATAGCTGTAAACCTTTTTATTGAAAGTCTTTAATATAAATGTCCTTTTTGGTGGTTTGGAAAAATGACTGTAACTTTTTCTTTTTTTTAAAGGGAAATCTACAAGTATAAAGATTAGCAAAAATAAAAGAAAATGCTCTATAATGGGTATTCTACTACTCAGCATGTAGGATTGCATGAAACTGTCTTTGACTTTATTTAACAAGAGGAGAAATGAGTATATGCTATAATTCTGCACCTGTTCTATGGATCTTGCCTGTGGGGAGATACTCCCTATAAAACGATGCACTCCATAGCTCCTGTGATGAACAGCATTCACATTCTGCCTGCTATGAGGTGCAATTCAATAAGCACCTTTTGCTGACCAGTTCTTTGCAGGATACATGAAGGGCTGAGCTAAGAATAAAAGCCCTTTTAGCAATCTGATACTTCACCTTCTCTTCCACCGAGTTTTCAGGCAACCCCACCATCAGATACCCTGCCAAAGGCATCACTCTCTCACCAACCACTTGCTTACATATTTATGCCAGTAACAGTGCTGGGTGGGGAGGTGTGATGGTAAAGTACAATCCTATTTTAAGTTTCTTATCTACCATTTAGGAAGGTCCCTAGATGGCAAGCTAGCTGAAATTATTATTATACTACTTGAGAAAAAAAAAAAAAAGATGACGACTCTGTGGAATCTTACCAGCTCACAGTGAGTGAGGCTAGTCTTACATTCAAAAAACTAAGATTATCAAAAGAATGTCATCAAACTTAAAAAAAAAGACTACTGTATTAACAATACAACTTTCTTCTGCTATGACCTGTCACCCATAAAACAACAAAGCTCCTGTTTTTGGATTTAACCAAATTCCTTAATTCTTTAATTTTGTTATAAAAACAAATATATAATAACAAGTATAATAGCACTTTTTTACTTCAAAGTAGCATTTGTTGCAAAAGTCAGAAAAATTAAGAATTATATAAAATAGAAAAAGAAAACCTCTTGTAATATAATTCTCTAAAATTAATTATTGTCTAAAATATGGTATGTCTATGTATTTTCTATAAATATTACATGTATTATTATTATACAGATGTTCTGAAAAACAAATCCAGGATCATTTTATATCATTTTCTTTGTAATTTGATTTTTCACTTTTGTTCATTCAATATTGACTGGGTGCCTGCTATGCATTAAAACACTCTTCCAGGTGCTGGAACTATAGCAGTGAACAAAGCACAGAACTCTGCCCTCATGAAACTTACATTCCAGCAGGGAGATGG